TTCTCGACGAGAACAAGCGCAGTAGCAGACATCGGTTGCAGCCACCAGTCTCATGCGAAGGGAGATATCCAGAAACCGCGATAAGCTCGGACCTCCTCTGTTCCATCGTTTAAGTGCAAACTGAAATAGAACAAGGTAATTTGGTTTGTTCTGCTTTTTTTATTATTTTCCTTGCTTTGTTCTTTTTCTTTTGCTGTCTTCTTCTTGTCTGTGGCCGTGGAGTGACGAGATCTGGAGGGTGGTCAAGGGAGCTGGTGATGAAGCTTGCGCTGAACTCGCTCCTTTGAAATACTCAACACTAGAGTTGGAGATGATCGATTGTGAGACTCCGAGTTACCGGTGCTTAGTTCTATTTTTGAAAACAAAGATTGACAGCTGAAATTTATTTAATGAAGAGGAGGAAGGAAGTAAGTCAGGGGAGATTTGGTCTCTCTGCTTCTTTGTGGAAAAGTGAAAGGGAGGGGAACACCGGTTACAGTGAACAGAATAGATCTGAAACAAAAAAATAAAAATAAAAATAAAAATGATAATAATAGCAATACAAAAACAATAAACAAATAAATAAGGAGAATAAAATAAATATATGGATGTACAAAATGGAAAGAAGGAAAGATGGAGCAAAAAAACGGGTAATAACAAATCTGATTAATCAGTCAGAGTGGTTTGTTCGATAGTTAGAATATCTGTGCAAAATAGGGAATAAGGGGAATAGGTTAATGAAGAGGAGACAGGGAAATAAAAATGTAAAATATAAAAAAAGTAAAAAAAATGAAACAAATGAATGAAAATAGAAAATAATAAAAATTAAAATTAAATCAATATATAAAAAATAAATAAATGAAAGATAATTAGGAGGCTTTTCTTATGATGTTGTTTTGAGAGATATAATATATACCATTCCAACTGAATTAAGACAGGTTACACTTTGAACAAGCATGGATTTACGATTGAGAACATTGACACCCGATCAAAACTTACGAGTAAGAACTTTTAGATAGGAACTATCTAACTCACCAAATACTGTTTTGCAATAAAATTTCTACTAGTCATTGTTTTGATAAGTGGACTTGACGGTTGGATTGTTTAACCCAGAAAACGGTCATATCTCCGGGTGCGGATTTAGATTGAACTGCTTTTTTGGGAAAAACATTGATTTGGTCAGAGAATCGCTGACCCGGGTGGTTGAACTGCTAATCCGTTTGACCCGGACAGTGGTTCACGGTTTAATGGAAAATTATTTAATTTTTAAGGGAAGATCAAGGAGAAAAAGATGAGATGGAGAAATGGGGGAGGGACTGAGGCTAGATCTCAGATCTAAGTAAATCTTGTAAGCCTACTAAAGTATAGGTTCTTTTTAATGAGAATTGTTCTGCCTCATCAATTCTGTTGTTTTGGGTAAACTCCAATTCCTTCCTTTACTTCCTGAACTATGAAAACTTATTCTTTAAGCAGGGACAACAGGCGGCAATTCCCTGCTTGGCTTTAGCGAACCAGTTGGAGCATCGGAGATTGCTTGACAGGCAGTAGAAAGAGGTGTCGTAGAACCCTGGTGATTCAACTCTAAGATTGTTCCATTTTTTTCCTTTTTTTTTTTTGTAAATGAGACGAGAATCATGTGCCATTGAACAGGGCCAGTTCTTGGTTTATGCCTTTTTTGGTTGGTGAGGTGACTGCTAATTTCTGTCTGTTGACGTTTCTTTGACCATTCTCGTTGTTCTGTAGTTTCYGGAGTCTTTCTGGATTCTGGGTTCTATTGAAAAGCTCTCAAGGTGTTTTGTGAGGGGGTACAGGAGAAGAATAGCTTGRATTTGCTTGGGAAGATAAAAGGTGAGGTTTTTCTTTAACTTTTTTTTTTCTTCAAATCTGGATTTTACAGATCTGAGAATGAATTTCTGGARTTGTAGTTATCAAAATAATTGTTTAACCATAGATCGGCTTGATAAACAATAAAAGGAATTGCATCTGAACAGTGGAGCTTTTAGTTATTTCTTAAAATTTTTGTAGAAGATGGTTTCTGAAGAAAAGACGTTAAAAA